CCTGCGCTTCTGATCATCCATGAATGCTTTCTTCCCTGAATCTCCGGTGCCGGAAAACCATCTCGGCCACCGTTGGTTGCCGGATTCCGATGAGGAACTCGCCGGAGAAGACTTGATTCCCGCCACCATCATTTTTTTCCTTGTAGTTGAATTAATAGTCTAATTTAGTTTCTCTAATAAACTCTTTTAAGTGGAGAAAAATAACCACTATTCTAAAAAAAGTGGAAGATTAGAGATTTGAAAATTGATTTGCTTTTGCTTTGTGAGTTGTTACGCTTGATTTTGTTGTTAAAACATAATGGAAATGCACATGGTTTTGCTGGCTTTAAATAGAAACATGGAGGGATTTAACACGTGTGAGCTTTTACTTCGTTTTTGTTTAAACCCTTTATTATATATATATTATAGACAAACCATTGGCTTTGGTCCCCAGATTTATTTAACCATTTTTCTCCAAGAATACCTGCCTAATCACGACTTAATTTAATATTTGATCTTTTTTCATTTTTAGCAATATTTTAATTTCAACTTTTACGTGATATATTTAAGATCATAAGATTAAAATATATTTTGATATATTTGTCATAACTTTAATTTAAAATCACAAAATTAAAGAGTCATCTTTATTTTCTTAAACTTCGCGTTAAGTTAAACAAAAACATTTTTTTTTAAAAACGGAGAAAGTAATATATTAATGGGATAGTTTAGAACATTATTAATTATATATTGTCGCCTATGGCATTTTGTAAATTGGAATTGCTATGTAGGGTTAATTTCAAGAATACAATTAATTAAAAGGAGATTCAGTTTGCCTAAAAATACTTTGGCCAAAAGCATGAGCGATTCCTTAAGCTTGTTGTCTTTAGTTTGTTTTTTGCACCTTTTAGTTCTAGACTTTTGTTTCTGATTTTTTTATATTAACATGGCTCACAAGGCCACAGTTATTTTTTTTTAAAAAAAGATTCCTTAAGCTTGTTCAATACTTTTATATTTTCATGTTTTTAATTAATTTTAGCATTAGCATTCATCTCTTCTACCTCAAATTATTTATTTATGATTTCTAAAAATAGTTATTTCAAGTTATTTTTCATTTTAGAAATTTAAGATAAAATTAATTAGTTTTTTCTCATTTTATTCTTTGTACTCTCTTCATCTCAGTTTATGTGATATAGTATAACTAAACATCAAATTTCAAAAACAAGTGAATATTTTTATATATTTCAAAATTACCCTTAAAAAATACACTTTTGTGAACCTTCCATAATTTCAAGGTGATTTGCTGATCCTAGTCATAGTAAGGCAAATCTAGTCCACAAGGTGAATTTACGTCTTATATCATATTTTTGTTTAGAAACTTATAAATTGAAAATTTGAGTCCATCGAATCAATATTGAATGAAGGAGGACATGTATTAGGAAGAAAATAAGAGTTCGGATTCAAAAGGATCATTTTTTTTTCAAAATACATATATAGTCACTCAATTTTTAAAAAAAAATCAAAAGGAATAATTCGCTGGTAAAGAAACGAAATATTTTATTATTATTATTATTTTTAATAAACAGCTTGGTGACTGTGCCCAACACACATTTTGATTGATAAATATGTGGACCAACTAATAGCATGACTATTCTCACTTGTCAGATACACCATACCAAACTATATTTTGTTTAGTTATTCATGTTTAATTGGAACTATTTTCTGCCATGCATATATCTTTCAATTCTCCACCACCACATCCTTCATGAATTGTAGTTCTCCACTAGCCCCACCCCATTGAAACATAATATATATTGTTAAGTAAGTAATACTTAAGAAGAAATGTGTGGTCACAAAATTCAACTATCAGATTATATAGATAGAAATCTTGAGTTTAATTATAATGTTCATTATGTAAAGATTTTTTTTAGGGAAAATTATGCGGTTAAGCAAATTTATACTGTTTAATTACTCATCATAGCTATAGTTTGCTATAATTACCATTCGCGACTAACATTATACATTAATTACGTGGGCTGACTTCGAGTTTGTTTAATTAGCCACGTTGATGTATAATTCGCCAGAATATACAAATACATATGTATAATATACAATTATCTAACCGATATACATATACA